TGAGAACTGTATTCAGGAAGTTTGACATGCCACATGCTTAAGCAATGCTGAAGCCCCATACACTTGGGCAGCTTGAAAAATAAGAAAGTTGTCATGCCTGATGGGTTGTGAGAATTTTGGAAAAGGACTTGGACTTGTGTTTCTGAGTGAGCACTGAGAGAGAGATGTACACTGGAGAAAGCTGACAGAGTATCTGAGAGTCATCCTATAGTGGCCCTGCTTGTTCCCTAGACTATCAAGCCCTTTGCTTGCTGCTCCAGTTAGAAATGGGCTCTCTCCAAAGAAGCTTGGCCCTGGCTCCTCACTTGGAATCAACAACTGCCCAAGGCTGTTGGATGCTTTTCTTCTGGAACCAGCCAGGTTCCCACCTGGCCTCTATGGCCTCTGTGGGGAAGGAAGAAAGGCAAGGTGCAGAGTATGGCTCAGGCAAGGCTGAGTCAAAACCAGGAGTCTTGGAAGCCTCCCAGAGCCAGTATCTCTGCCCTTCCTGCCTGCAATGAGAGGGGCCTGTACTGACTGAGGGCCTGTGCGTGTTTATTCTCCTGTCTCTTGCTTTTCTTCTGTACAGTTACTGATAGGTTGGCTCATTTGAATTGAAACCAGTTGGAAGGAAGAACTTAAGACCTGTTTATCTCTGTCTGATCAAAAGGAGAGCAGATAGGGGAAGGGGAGAGAGAGAGAGAGAGAGAGAGAGAGAGAGAGAGAGAATGACATAGAGATCAGAGGAGAAAAAGACAGGTAGAAAGTGAAGGATTTGGAAGAATGGTAGATGATAATACAAACTTTTCTGTCTCTTCTGCTAGAGGGCCAGCATTGGACAGCCTTGGCCACGTTGATCCGCCCTTATCTTCACATCTATTTCCCCTTGTGCCACATTCTGAACGGCCTGCTCCAAACACACAATAAAAGCATTCATGTTTATAGGAATTGTGCAGGGAAATGCGAGCTTGCTGATACTGTTGATTTTCTACTATCGATTGGGTTAGCTCCTGCCTGAACTTGTCCAGGTTCCCTATGCAATGTAGGAAATCACGGTATGTTTCTATGAAATGGCTATTCCTGCCGGCTTCTTTCTCTCTAGAGGGAGAATGATCTTCTTGTTGTTGTTGTTGTTTTCCATTTTGGTGAAAGTGTGGGACAACACACCACTGTTTTGCTTTGAGGATTAACTGATGTTTTATTTTTTTCTTTTTAATTGAATGTAGGCTTCTTTTAAACTGAGATTTTTATCAAACTTAAATTTTATTCCCTAGTTGACAACACTGAGTGGCTTCCATGTAAAAGGAAAAGGGCTCTGTAAGTACTTGGTAGCAGGGGCACAGAATCCAGGGCATTGCTAAGAGTACCAGGGTGAATCTGGTGAGTGTTGACAGCCCTTAGGACCCTCAAGGCTTCCCTCTTCATTTTGTGCTAAGTTTTCTTTTCCACTGTTTTCCTGTCTACTTCTTTGATCTTTACCTTTTAGAAACAATCATTTTTAGCCAGGTGCCAATGGCTCCATGTATATAACCCTAGCTACAAAGGAAACTGAGATATGACAATCATGGTTTGAAGCCTGCCTGAGTAAGAAGGTCCATGAGATACCAATTAACTGGAATTAACCAGAGATACAAGTGGTAGAGTGCTAGCCTTGAGCAAAAAAGAAAAAGCTACAGGACAGGGTGCAGGCATGAGTTCAAGCCCCAGTAGTGGCAACCCCCTCCTAAAAAAATCATTTTTATAACAAAGTCACTACTTTTTCATGCCAAGGGATGCAATTCTGAGGTCCAGGGGAACTTATTAAACAAGAGCAGAAACAGTACTGAACGAGATGTAGGCCTTTGCTTAGAAATTATGAAGAACTTCAAAGCAATAGTAATGACTAGACACCACACAAAACCAAGGACCCTTCAGATCATGGGTCCTGAGTAACTGCCCTGATCACAAGACCTTGCAGCACTCTGAGGCCAGGGATGGTTTAGAAGAAAATGACCATGAACATGGAAGTGAGGTACCTTGCATTGCAGTGGGCTTCCTGACCGGTAGGGGTGGCATTGAGTGATTCCATCTTGTGAAGCATGTACAAAGACAGAGTGGCTAGGCTCCTGAAGCAATTCACACTCCACTTGGGCTCTCTCTGGCCACATCTGACCCTGTTACTGGGCTTCCTCTAAGAAACACCTATATTCACTTTAAGATGACTGCCCAGAGTAGGGGTACCTGCAGGCAGGGCAAGGCCTGATGGGACCAGGCACAGGGCAGATATTGCAGTTGCTGGTTTGTGCTGTGTTCACATCTTCCTGCCTAGGTGATGGACTTGTGGGTCCAGCAAGACAGTGTCAAGGAATTCTGAGTCGAACAGCATACCCAGAGGGTGGCCTACCTCTTCTCCTCCCCGCTGCTGGCAGATGTTTTCTGCCAGGATGCTGGGACTTAGGATATGGGCTAACTTGAGTTGGGAAGTCTTAAGTAAAGCAAGCAGTACCTGGCTATTAAAATGCTAATGCTGCTTATCAGCAGC